GCAGGAACATCTTTTTGGTGTTGTGTTAATTACCTCTAAAGGTGAAGCTTTGGTTTTGAATGCATATGACATTAGCGATCAGCAGTCAAGAACAGAAGACGTGAAGATTCTTATTAGAGAAATTATGAATAATGCACAAGAAAAGGATATAAGAATTAATTGTTATGTATCTGATTCTGCTGGCGAATATGCAGCCACAAGGTGAGTATTAAATATATATACTAAAAATGTTTACTGTATATTTAAATAAAATTTTGATTTTTTTTTTTGCAGGCGACAACTAAGAATTGAGTTTTCTAATAAGGTTTTTATACCTTGCATGGTGCACCAAATGAACTTGGTATTTGGTGATATTTTCAAGGCATCAAATATATACAAAACAACATCAAAAAATGCAACACATATTGTGAGCTACTTTCATTCTTCCCGTATTTTACTGGATTATTACGAAATAAACAAGTATCTTGTTATAGACAAACAATCTCCCTTGCAACTCCAGCTAAAACATGTTGGAATAGTTTTTATTTTTGTTTTTATTCTGTCTTAAAATCCAAATCTGCACTTAAAGTAAGTGTATTTTTAAATAAATTTGTAAATTTTTAATAAATTATATTATTTATATTTATTACTACTTACCGCAGATGTTGGCTATGAAACTTTCTTCCAACAAGAATTGGGATAGCAAGTAATTCTCAAAGTAGACGATCACGTCAATGATTTTTAGAAACTTCTAATACAACCAAAACACTTTCACCTGATATTATCTCTATAATACAAGATTCTAATTTCTAGGCTCAACTCTATAAACTTCAAAATTTACTATTTCTACTATGTAAAATATTAAATAGGCTTTAAAAAAATGGCACAAGGCTTTTTGAAATTGTATATTGCTTTGGGTGGCTTATTAAAACTTTTGCAAACTGTAAAGATGAAATTTTTTCTGATCACATGGTCGCATAATTGGAAAAGCAATGGGCTCAATGAGAACAACCCTTACTTCTCCTATCATTTGTCTTACATCCAAAATATCGGCTCTCAATTTTCTTCTGATATTTCTGGTCTTTTTTACTCTAACTTTGTCAATAGTTAAATCTATGAGCCAATTATATGGTGATATATTAATTGATAATTCTCCAGTCAACTGATGCATGATCATAGTAAAAAGTGACTCAAATTACTATATAAATTTACTATAATTATCTTTCTTGCTTAAGAGACTTTTGTAAAGCTTGTCAAGATGCATCTAATAGTGGTTAGAGCATCAAAATCAGCCTGGTGAGTACTAAGATATCTTTAAAAAACCACTCTTTTACTATGTAAATTTTTTTAAATTTCTTTGCAAACAATAGTATTGTTTGCAAAGAAATTTACATAGTAAAAGAGAGGTTTTTTAAAGATATCTCAGTACTCACCAGGCTGATTTTGACACTCTAACCACCATTAGATGCGTCTTGACAAGCTTTACAAAAGTCTCTTAAGCAAAAAAGATGATTAACTTAGTATGAAAAAAGTTTACCTTGGGTGAATGCCACATTCGCACTATAGTAAATTTATATAGTAATCTGAGTCACTTTTTACTATGATCACATATCAGTTGACTGGAGAATCATCAATTAAGCAAGTGAAACCGTAATGAAGCTGAAGAGGCTGAAAAAAAATATAAATAAATCTATCTTGCAACTCCCATTCAACCTTACAATTCTGATAATAGAGACATGACACAAAAAGAATTAACAAGCAACAGTAAGGATAATGATTTATTTGTTTCTGGTGATTTGCAATTAAATAAACCTTTCCAAATAATAGAGAATGTGGCTGAAGATATGAGTGATGATCTGATACTTTTAGTAAAGAAAATTGGTTAAATTTGGTTGAAAATTGGGCTAATACATTGAATAATGAAGATAATTTTGATCATAATGAATTTGCAAGTAATGACCTTGAATTTGAATTAGGTGGGTATATTACTCATCCAGCGGATGATCTATTGGCAAAATGGAATTTATTAGATTTATTCAATGATTCTTTAGAAGCCCCTGTTTCATTTACATTTTAAGAATAAGGAAGTGGCATACATACAGTATCCTATTTTTCTAAAGTATATATTTATTTACATAATCGTTTATCAGTAGATATTTATTAAAAGAAGCTAATTTTATTGCTAACAACACTTATTTAATTTAATTTTCTGATTTGAAATTTAAATATTTTTAAACTCTTACTTATTTTCGAAATAAGTTAAGTCTGAAACCCTTACTGTATATAATTCCTGACTTGGGTATGAATAAATAAATACTGTATATTACTGAATTAGCATAAATATTACTGTATATAATTCCTGACTTGGGCACAAATAAATAAATATGTTACTGAATTAGAATGAAACGTTACTGTATATAATTCCTACGAATAAATAAATATGTTACCGTAAATCACCATATACAAGACCCTGCGTGACAAATAATATAGATCAATTTTTAAAATAGTATTTATACATCAAGTGATGCGTAATGCACGTGATTTAAATTTTTTTCAATTGAAAAAAATTGCATCACACAGGTCTTGTATACGGCGAATTATAGTACTAAATTAGCACGAACATACATGTGTGATCTCATTATGTAGCAAATAGTTGATGTTTAATAATTTGATTTAGAAATAAAAAATTATATATATATAACTAAAATTTCGAGTTAATAACCAGTAGCCCAAATACTTTGAGAATACTACTATATCGCACAGACCAAAAAACCCATAGATTTAAAACATATATAAAATAATCTGGGCAAAGATGTTTCATATTTTAAAAGCTACAATATATTGATCATGTGGAATTACTTTTTAATAGATATATTTTTCCAAATGACCTACTAAGTCATTTTACCTTTTTAAATAACCAATAATTGGTCATTATTTACTTGAGTCACGGGGTCATTTCAAGTCATTTACCATCCCTGCCCTATTGCTATAATCACACATGAATCAAGTGATAGTTATATATATATATAAAAAAAAAAATGATGATTTAATAAAAAAAAGAAATATGAATAAAAAAATAAAAAGAAAATTTAATATATATAAAAAAAAAAAGAAACAATAATTTAGTAAAAAATTAAATATAAAAAATAAATAATAATTTAACAAAAAAATAATAATAATTTAAAAAAATAAATCAATATTTTATAAAAATATATATATATTATTAGTGTTGTTCTGGACATGAATATAGAAGACATAGACAATCCATAGACATAGAAAGACAATAAAGTGTCTAATGTCCATATTCATAGACTATCTGTTCATAAACATGGACTGCCTATGTTTACATGTCCATAGACATGTATTCATGTATATAAACAGGTGTCTAGAACAATACTAAATATAAGTATCATCAAGAGAAAACCTGTCATTGGCTTTTAATTATATTTTGTACTGGACAAAATCTATTTAATTTCTTAGGGGATATGCCTAGCACAAAATAAATTGAAAGCTGATAACAGGTTTTTCCTTGGTGGCACTCATTATAAAATAGTAAAATTTCAAATTCTAACTTACATAACACCAACCTTAATTAAAAGTTTGTTTTTAATCTATTTAATATTTTTTAAAAAATTGGGTTTAAAAATCAAACCAGATTTAAACTTCATATTAGCAGGTTTGTGAAATGAATCTAAATTAAGATCTCTGAATTTAACAATTGTTGAATACATAATAGCTGAAATTTTAGATCTTTTTGCAATCACATTGTTAAAATATATAGAACTTAATTTAGATCAATTTTACAAACTTGCTGATATGTGCTGCCAAGTTTGATTCAAGCTAATCCAATATAAACTCTAATGTGAAATTTAAGTTATATGACTTATATGACTTATATAATATATATATATATTAAATTTTAGAACCTAGGCAATGTCTAGGTCTAAGCCAATATAATATAAAGAATTAAAAAAAATTAGAAATCTCAAACCTGTGCTCTAAAAGCTAATTTAAATATTTAAACCTAAAAATTAGAAGCTCGAACCCGAGCAACGCTGGGTCCTAAGAGCTAGTGTCCAGCTATCCCCACCACTTCCCTAGAAAAAAAAAAAAAAAAGTAAAAGTAACGATACTCGAAAAAGTCTGCTCACGTGACCTCCTGCGGCTTGTCGGCGACCTATCCGTACTGTACTGTACTACGTCGTTAGACACGGATTCCCTTATGTCAAGAAAATCCCGGGCTAAGGATCTACAAAAATTAGGCTCGGAGCCAATAAAAATTGCAGGATCTTGCAGATCTTAACGTAAATCTAAACAAACGCCAAAAATAAAGAAATCATAAATAACGCAAAATTTTACTATGACAACCGGCCTTTATTTCTAAGTAAAAAATGCGTAGCATGAAATTTTACTTATAGGAAGAGTTTTTTATACTAAAAATAACAATATATATATCAAAATTGTGTGTTATATCGGATGTAGATCATTTTCTTGACATAAGGAAATCCGTTAGACACTGATGTATTTGTTAAATGAGCATTTGAAAGGACGTGACTTTAGGTATAAGAATGGGGTCACGACTGTTATGTTCGAGGAAGGGGCACATGACGAGCAATAATAATATAAAATACTTTCCGTAAGTGTATGCACCTACCTGCCAGATAAACTAGTTATCTGGCATGATATACGGATCATGCCAGTTAACAAGAAATAATTGTTAATAAAATACCAATATACCAAAATTTAATATTATTACTAATTATTAATCTTAACATTTACTTAAAAACTGATTCCTAATATAATTTTAGGATGAGTAAAACTATGCGAGTACTATAATAAGAAAGAGAAATGTAATTTTTGATATGTATCTTAAATTTTAAGCTTAAAATTTATTCATAGACACGCAACGGATCAGCAATATAAAAAAAAAAAAAACAGAGAAATAAAAAAAAAAAGAAGAAATGAGATTAATAAAATTATAAAATTTCTACAAATTTAACGAATTAGCAGGCCCATTGCCTTTAAATAAGTTTTTTTTTGCATTTGCTAGTTGATATATCAGCTTCTATAAATTCATTATCAGAGGCAAAAATACATGGATATTTAATCACATATTCAGAATCTTCATCTTCCGATTCATCACTTTCGGATTCAACATCTCCGGATTTATCATTTTCAGACATTACATCTTCAGAAGACGCGCCATTTTTGGACGAAAAGTAATCTATATTTAATTCAATTTTACCATCCTGAATTTCTAAATTATTTCTAAACAGAGGGTATTCAAATGACAAAGTCATTATTGAGTTTCTTGGCAACTCCTTTGGAACATTGATTAATATGCTCTTTTTATTGTCTTCAAGTGTAATGTTTTGATCCTCCACGCTTAATACAGATAATTCCCGCGTATGTACGCTATAAAAGTTAATTTCATCTGGAAATCCGACCAAGATCCACATAATTTGGAGGTCAGCTGGGTCTATATTTCTTTTAAATATAATATTGTAAAGCAGTTAATATTACATTTATTGTACCAAATTTAAACCTTCATTTACTTACTTGATTTCATTAATATTTTCGATTGCTGCTAAAAATCCGGTTTTATTTTTAGAATATATTTTCACTACTGTTTTATCAACAGTATCAATTAATTCCTCATTTGTATGTCTAATAATCTTTGCAAAGATGTGATAATTGCAACTTTCTAAGTTAGAAGGAAAGTCTATATGGTAATACTTTGTATTTTTGATAATCTGCACAATCCCCGTCATAAGTATCCTTTTTATCCTTTTTTGATTGTCAATTCCTAAAATCGATTGGATTTTATAACTGGTAGATTCATCAAATATTTCATATACTGGAAGCAATTCACTACGGCTAATAACTTGTAATAATTTAGAATGTTCATTTAACCATTTTTCAACATCATTTATTTTAACCGCTTCTCCGTTCATTGAAATCAAATATGATGTATCGAACCCATGTTTCTTCAACATATCATCTAATTTCGATGGATAATTTTCAAAAAGTTCTTCAATTTCTAACTGGTTATCAATACTCGATATTTTTTGCAACGGAACACATGAATTGTATAATTTTTGACCAAGGATATATTTCTGTGCTAATAAGTATCCAAATGTGTCAAATATTTTGATTAATTCTTGATATGGTTTCTCATTCTTTAATGCGTTATCTATTGCTATTTTTATCGCTTCGGTTGGTTTGATGTTTTTTTTCTCAAAGTTCAATTCAATTTTTGGAAAATTAACTTCAAAATGAACATGATTAAAAGATAAATCATCATTGAGAAAGAACGCCGATTGCAACATGATATTAACAAACTTTTGTGGTAGTAACCGAAAGGAAGTAACATCTATGTGATTTTTCAATAAGAACAATTCCTTTTTATATTTTGGCGACGTTAATTTTACATGGCATAGTCCGATATACTCTTTCGTTTTTGGATCAAAGTTAAATGCTTGATTTACTGCGGTACAAATTTCTTGCGATTTAATAATAAGACTATGATTTAGTTTGAGATATTTTATCGAATTTTCGCTTCGCTGAATGCAGAATGTGAATTTTCTTTGTTTATTTTTTGATCGATGGCTTTTTTTGTAATTTGATTCAACACTTTTTCCTTGTTCTTTTGGTCCCCCGTCTTTTCTATCTGCAGATTTATCACGTCGTCAACTGGAATTTCTAAATTAATAAAGGAGGAAGTTACATCACATAGATAAAGTTTATATTAAGTAATATAATAGCTTAGAGAAAATTAAAAAACATTTTAGTTATATAATTACCAACACTTATTACATCAAGTTTATTGCTTTTTTCTTTAAAACGCTGAACAATATCACGTGTATCAATAAACCTGCTCGTGTAATGCTGAATATCACGTTTACCCGCGTATGCGATATCAAAACGTTCTTTTAAAGCTATTGAAAGCTCTGGAATTATCATATTGGCAGCCATAAATTCGCTAATTATTTGTAATTTTTCATTATATTCATTAGATTCGTTAAATTCAACTCGTTCATTAGTTTCATCAAATTGATCAGATTTATCAAATTCGTCAGATTCATCAGGTCCACTTACAAGACTATGCCATTCTGAAAGCTTATTATGAATTGTCTCAGCAGTAGGCCTGTTTTGTGAATCTAGATGCATACATAATTCTGCTAATTCAATATAGCAGCTAGGAGTGCCTAAAGCAAAGTCAGGTCTCTTTCCATTGCAAATTTCCATTGCAAGTTCAGTATCAAATGAACGTCCATAAAATGGAGGTATTCCAGTGGTCATCTCTGCCATAATAACTCCAAAACTATATATGTCAGCTGCTGGCGTATAATCCTGACCTAATAAAACCTCTGGAGCAATATAAGGCAAAACTCCACAAACTTCCTGTTTTAAAGCTAACTCTTCATTCTTTCTAGATACTCCTAAGTCTGAAATATAAGATTTTAATGCTCCAAGCCATGATTCTTCTTTATGCAGCAAAATATTTCCGCAGTGAAGATCGCAATGAATGTATCCAGCTTCGTGAATTTTAATTAAATCCTTTGATATGTCAACTAACAATAATAATTTATCTTCCCAAGTAAGCTCTTTAAAATTTAATCTTAGATAATTATGAAGATTTCCTTTGTTAGCATATTGCATTACCACCATATATTCTTCTGTTTTCGTATCTTGAGTTAGTCCATATATTTCGAGCCTGCTACCACTTAATCGGCAATGCATATGATTTATAAACTAATAAAAAATAAATTTATGTGAATTTGAAATGCTATATGACATAGAAAAATTATTTAAATTATAACTTACAGCTTTTAGAAAATCATTAGAATTTTTTTTTGATCCGGGTAAAGTTTTGAGTGCTACCTTAATAGATAGAGAACGTATATGTTCATATTCATTTGAGATTTTTTGTTGCCAATTGGCTAAATATACAGTACTAAATCCTCCTTTACCAATCTCTCTTATTACATCCAATTTTTCAAATGGAATCCACTCAATTGCTTTTCTTTGTTCAGTAGCATTAAGTTGAAACTCTTTAATGCAATCATCAATATATTTATTACCACTTGTCCATTCCCGAATTATTTTATAAGGATTACATGACTGACACCAATTTATTGAAGTATTAAATCGTTTGCAATTAGTGCATTTGCCATGCGCAAAGTGTCTTTTAGAAGCAAACACATCATTATCTTCGTCACAAATTGTGTATTCTGATACTATCATATATTCACCACTGACAGGAAATTGCGTTATTCCGTATATTTTAATTGCATTTTCTTTTGCTTGCATTTGATTTTTAAACTTAAATACAAAATATATTCATATTAAATATTAATTAATTATTAAAAATAAATAATAATTTTCAACTCACTTCTTTTAAAAAATCCCTTGAAGACTTAAGTACAATTATACATGGTGGCGTACGTGATCGTGTGTATTTGTCCTCAGAAATTATTCGTATACCATCTAACCATGTTGCTAAAAATTTATACCCAGTATTTTGAATATTATCTAATCTATTAAAAGGAATCCATTCTATTGCATTTTCATACTCTGTGGCTTTAAACTGAAATTCTTTAATGCAATCATCAATATTTTTATTTCCACTTGTCCATCCTTGAGCTGTTTTAAGAGGATCACATGTCTGGCACCAAACTGGAGATGTGTTATATCGGTTACAATATACACATTTCCCATTCAATTTATGTCTTTTGAAATGAAACTTATCAAATACTAACATATACTCATAAGTAGCTGTATTTTGAGTTAGTCCATATACTTTAAATTCGTTATTCATTATATAATTCTTAAACTTATTAAGTAGAAAAGTATATTAGTAAGTGCACAAAACCAAGAAGGATAAAATGAATATAAACTTACATCTTTTAATAAATTCTGAGAATTCTGAGAATTATTCAATATCTTAAGGTTAATTATACATGGCATACGTGATTGTGTGTATTCATTTATCTCATCTGCGGAAATTACTCGTCCATCTAACCAGGTTGCTAAAAGTTCATCCCCATTCTTTTGAATTTTATCTAATCTATTAAAAGGAATCCACTCAATCACATTTTCATATTTTTTAGTCTCAAGTTGTAGTTCTTTAATGAAATTGTCAATATTCTTATTTCCACTTGTCTTCTGCGGATCGCATGTATGACAATAAGCTTTAGAAGTATTATATCTATTACAATATGCACATTTCCCATTATTTCTACTTCTTTGGATGTGAAATTTATCAAATACCAACATATACTCATTAGTATCTGTGTTTTGAGTTAGCCCATATACTTTAAGTTCGACATCCTTTATATGGTTCGTAAACTTATTGCATAGATAAATAAAATTAATAAATATATATACATGATAATAACAAAAATAATATAGGGTTTATATATCTTACCTCTTCTAACAGATCCGTTGAATTCCGAGAGCTGGGCAATATTTTAAGGTCAATTATACATGGCGTACGCGATTGTACGTATCTATTGTATTCATCTACCAAAATTATTCGTATACCATCTAACCATGTTGCTAAAAATTTGTCACCATCCTTTTGAATATTGTCTAATCTACTAAAAGGAATCCACTCAATCACATTTTTATACTTTGTGGCTTTAAACTGAAATTCTTTAATGCAACCATCAATGTTTTTATTTCCACTTGTCCATCCTTGAGCTGTTTTCGGAGGTTCACACGTCTGGCACCAAGCTTTAGATGTGTTATATCGGTTACAATATGTACATATTCCGTCATTTATACTTCTTTGGATGTAAAACTTATCAAATACCAATATATACTTATTAGTAACCGGGTCTTGGGTTAGCCCGTACACTTTAAGTTTGTCATCCTTTATATGTTTCGTAAACTTATTAAATAGGTACATATAACAGATAATTAATAAGTATATACGCATAATAATAATAAAACAAATATGGAATTTATCTTATATCTTACCTCTTCTAACACAACCGTTGAATTCTGAAAATTATGTAATATTTTAAGGTCAATTATACATGACGTACGTGATTGTGTGGATTCCTCAGAAATTAATCGTACGCCATCTAACCAGGTTGCTAAATATACATCACCATTATTTTGAATATTATCTAATTTATTAAAAGGAACCCATTCAATTACATTTTCATACTCTGTGGCTTTAAGCTGAAATTCTTTAATGTAATCATCAATATTCTCATTTCCACTTGTCCATCCCTGAGTTATTCTCCAAGGGTCACATGCCTGACACCAAGCGGGAGATGTGTTATATCGGTTACAATATATACATATGCCATTTTCATTACTTCTTCTGAGATGAAATCTATCAAATACTAACATATATTCATTAGTAGTTGTATCTTGAGTTAGTCCATATACTTTAAGTTCGTTATCCATTATGTAATTCTCAAACTTATTAAATAGGAAGTATATTAGTAAGTGCATAAAAACAAGAATAATAAAATAAACGTAAACTTTCCTTACCACTTTTAATAAATTCTGAAAATTCTGAGAAGTATATAATATCTTAAGATTAATTATACATGGCATACGTGTTTGTGCGTACTTATTCCTATATTTATCCCTATTTACATAAATTATTCGTACGCCATCTAACCAAGTTGCTAAATATTCATTTCCATTATTTTTAATATTAGTCAATCTACTGAATGGAATCCACTCAATTACACTCTCATATTCTGTAGTTTTAAGTTGAAGTCCTTTAAGAAAGTCATCAATATTCTTATTTCCACTTGTCCATCCTTGAGCTGTTCTCTGAGGGTCACACGTCTGGCACCAGGCTAGCGATGTATTATATTGGTTACACTGGTTGCATTTTCCATTCTGCCAATCTCTTTCAAAACTAGCCTTTGACATTATTTTAAGCTGCAGATAGATTCTCCATTATTATTATAACGTACTCTGTAACACAAATACAAAACAAGTATATCTTCGTAGGGACTACTATATTTTATTATTGGGCCTTTTTTGGCCACTAAAATTGATCAAAGATCCCTTAAATTTCCTGTAAGGTCGTACGTACGTACAAGAGCATGTGATTTTGCACGTACCGAATATCACGTGACACTCACGACGTAGGCTATCGTTGAATTTATTTAATTTCTGAACAAATTTCTTGGCAACTATTTAATAGAATTTTGTTGAATTTTTTTAAATAAACTCTAAAAAAAGGTTCATCGAATTCTATTGAATAGTTGATGAGAAATTTTCGGTCAAAGTTTCTAATAAAAATTGCCTCGGCAATAATTTTTTAAAATTTAAGCAAAAATTTCTCGATAACTAC